TAACAGTCACGTTGTTTGATATTTATTTATATTAGCTGTAAGCTCCAACTATTGGAAAATAAAATAAAATACAAAATGGACACAGATCTTAGAAAGAATCTTATTAAGTCACTCGAAAAAAAAATACTTAAAGAAACGCAGCTTATTGAAAGTGTTCCAGTTGAATGGAAGACTTACTTAGATGCTCGCAAGACCTACAGAGAAAAACTATTCAGAAACAAGTACGATGGTTTTTTGGGAGATATCTTAGAAGAATTTAATAATCTGGTGAATAGTCTACCTGATAATGAATTGCAGCAATTTATCTTATTTGCCTCAAAGCAAGACATTGTTGTTTTCTGTGAATTTATGATAAAGAAATCAAGATCCTACCTGAAAATGATTTGTCTATAAATAGAAAAGAGAACTATGGTGATTTATTAGAAGAAACGTCTCTTGTTTTATCTGAAAATGTAAATAGATACATTAACAAGGACCGATTTCAATATAAGAAGAAGTTGTACCATGGGTTACATTGCGATGTCGATAATTTTAAAGTAATAAATAATACTTATAATAGTTTGATTGGTAATTTAGATGAAGATACTAAGAAAATATTTGTTAATGCGTTAATGTATCAGGATTTATATTTACTCTGTGATCTCTATTTAAGAGATAGATAATATTTTATTGAATAAAATAAATTACAGTTTTCTATCTAAGTAATATTTAATTCTTTATATTTTTTGATTGCTAAATTATAATTCATATTGGCAGCCAGTTTAAGATATTTACTGGCATTATCCTTCCTACCCAATTCAGCATACACTGAGTAGATAGCAAAATAAATGTCTGCCTTTTTAAGATTGATTGCGATTTCCAGATATGGAAGTACTTCATTGGGCCCACCCAGTCTACCCATAGCCTTAATACGTATAATGTTAGCATATGCTTCCGCTGATTGCAATCGCAGTTTGGATCTTTTATCATCGGCCAGTTCTTTAAAGTATCTACTAGCAACGATATGGTCATGGATCAGGTTTTCGGTGGTACTAAATATTCTTCCCATACTAAATAGGACCTCATCGGAAAGATCCTTATCATCGATTTTTAAAAGCTCATATAAAATTTGTAGCAGAAAAAGGTAATTCTTGTCACTTTTATGGTTGATCTTCTTAAGCAACTTAGGCTCTGGGTTACATAGTCTAACAAGTTTCTTTCCTTCATCAATGATGAGTTCAGATATTTTGTTGAATCTTTCTCTCTTAAGGTAGGGTTTCAACTCTTCACTAAGCTCATAATCAACTTGTCTCTTCTGTTCAGTAAACCAATCCTCATCAATTATATTCTCAAGGATTTCTTCGAGTTTAAACCCACTTGCATTTGTTTTGGTGTAGTTTTTGAAAAAGTATTTTACAAAGACCAATTTTCCACTCGTTAGTAGGTATAATAACATTTCACCATTATAGCGTAATCCGCTTGGGTAAATTGTTTCACCCAACATCTTATCTTTTAATTTTGACTGTTGGTCGGTAGCAACGAACCACCATCGGTAACTACCAGGAATAGTATTAATCCAGTTTTCAAATTCTCCATTCTTAATCTCGAACTCGGTTAACAACTCTTTTAGGTTATGAGGATCTTTATATCTCACGTTAAGATGCATGTTTACCTTAAACTAGTAGTTCAATTTGGTCTTTGGGTATTTATACAATACCAGAACAATACTAAGTTATATAGTTTAGGATTCTCTTGAGTTCTCAGAATTCGGGTTTCACTATTTCACGAAGTGTGCACAGATCATATCTCCCGTTTCTTGTTTTGATCACAGGTTCCCAGGTAGTAATCATGATTGGTGTGTAACATACTCCATAACTTATAAAGATACTATTCATTTCACCTGTATAGATTGTATGTTCGTATGTGATGCACCTTGTCCTGGTTCCAATTTGTAACATGAATCCATCCCAGAGAACGTGTGTTTCTCCTTTATACTCAAAGGTGAATTGCTCGCTTGTCCATTCATATTCGATCCAAGGGTAAAAATTAGGTGAGAGATCGAAGAACCATTTGCAAATTCTAATCGATTCCTCTCTTCCAATCATATTGCAAATATTAACAAGTC